TATCAAAGTTTGTGAATGTAGTAGATGCCTGGTGAATATTGTAAATATTTGTCAGATGACTGAGTTCATGTGGCAGCTTCTAGGGTGGAGATGTAGCTCGGTGGTGGAGTGCTTGCCTAGCAAGCACAAGACCCTGGGTTCAACCCCCATCACCACAAACAAAAACCAACAAGCAAACAAAATTATGTGAGTGCTTTTCTTCTGCTTCTCTTCCAAGATTGTTGTCATGAGAATCAGCTTCGAGGCAGGTTTCCAACTGTCAGTCGCTTCTTTTTTTTTTTTTGCTAGCAGTAAATGCCATCATTACTTTTCTTTACTACTAACTTGCTAGGTTTAGGCTAAATTAGATTTATCTAAAAAGGAAATTTTATACTGTTACTAGAAGTAAACAGTGACTGTGAAAGCAAACCCATTGAAAACAAAACCACTTCATTCCATTTTCTCCCTGATTCTGTTGCTGGCCCAAGGCTAGGAGCCCGAGGCTGTCTTTCTCTTTGTTTACAAGGGAGATTGGCATGGTTATAAAACATTAAGGACCTATTAGTCCCAGGTTGATACTTTCCTCTTCAGAAAATCTGAATGATTAGAAAGGCAGTGGAAAGAGTATACAGAGTTCTCGGGGCAGGTCCATCTTGTGGTAGATCCCTTGTGTTGGTTCTCTTTCCATGCTTAGGGAACTACTTGGCCAAGATGATGATACGGAAATGGCTTTGAGCAGGGTAGAGCACTTGAACAGCGTAGGTGATTGGTATGATTTTTCTTATCTCCACTCTCAGGATGTTTTTAGGGAACTTCCTACCTAGTAAAGTAGGTGATCAGAAATGAGAACAAAAAAATGAGAAACTGTATAGACTCTTAGGGCTGAAAGAAATCTTACAGAATGCTCAGGCAGTCTGATATCAGTGGAAACTGCCCTTCAGTGAGTGATGGAGAATTCGCTACTTCCTGAGACAACCACTGGACGTCAGGACCTTTGTTGAATTGCTTCTTGGATGACTCTGGAGGCCAGTTGTCAAAACTGCTTCCCTGCACCTCGGTCAGATGTGCATTGGGGAGATTCACAGACAGTCTTCTTTTTCTTGTGTAGAGTTCTGGATATTAGGAGACTGCTGAGCTACTCTGTCTAAAGACAAGGCTTACAAATTCAAGTGACTTTAGGATCCATCAAGTATTACCAAGAGGTCAGGTCGGGGAGTGCTGTGGAAGAGTGGGGACTGTGGTAAATTAGAGGGCATGTGCTTTATCTGAAGGGCCCCTTTTCTGCACTTGCTGGTGGTTGCCATGTGAGCCCAGCATGATTAGATATTGAACTGTTCTGAGAAAATCTAATGTTGAATACAAAATCTCTGAGCTTTAAATGTTAGCAGTGAATTAAGATGCTATAAAACATGGTCTGAAGTGAAACCAAACAAAACAATAAACATGAGGTAAATCACAGGAGATTTTCTGGTGAAGTCTGGGCCCCAACCGTACTCATCACTGCTTCCAAATTCACCTGATCTTTTTGGTGTGGGTGACCCTGTCCTCTCCCAGGTGTAAGGAGTGCTGGTTTCCAGAACTCCCTCCATTGCAGTCAGCCCCTCTGATGTTCTTCCACACTGCCAGAGTCCCTCTTAGCTCCCCTGCTCCTCTCATCTAGTAAATACCTATGGGTGCTTTGAGATTCAAATCCATTGTTCCCTACTCTGGGAAGCTTCCCTGATAATTCCAGGAAGGAAGACTGATGCTTCTACTTTCTGTGTCATGCTGAATAAATTACTGAATCTCTCTGGCCTCAGTTTTTTTAATCTGGAAAATAGCAATAGTTCCTACTTTGTTAGGTTGTTGAGAGGATTAAATGAATTTCTAGATAGGTGACAGACAGGGACTTCTTAGAAGGCAGAGCTGGTTTGGAGATGGTCACAAAGCAGGTGTTCATTAACACTGGTTCACGTGAAGGGGCCGGGGAAAATAAGCGTGTGGGCTTCCAGCTCTACGGTCTGACCATCATGATGATGCTGTGTGGTTGCAAATTCAGCTCTTTTGAACTCTTTCTAAAATCCAGCCAAAATATTTGTCCAAATGGCTAAAATACAAAGCAGTGACAATACCAAATGCTGGTGGGCAAACTAGACCACTTATACATTGCTAGAGTGACTACAACCAGTCTGCTGGAGAACAGTTTGACAGTTTCCTTTAAAACTAAATGTGCAATTACCAGATAACCCAACAGTTGAACTTTCGAGCATTTGACTCAGAGGAAAGAAAGCTTACATTCACACGAAAACCCAACTGGCTACAACCGGGATGGTCATGAGTGTGTGAATGGTTAAACTAAGAGGGGTACATCCATGAAGTGGAGTGCTACTCTACAACAAAAAAGAAATGAAGTACTGATACATGTAACAGTTTGAGGAATCGCACAGGAATGATGCTGAGTGGAAAATGCCAACCCCCAAGGGCTACCTGCTCTCCGATTCTATTTATACAGGTTTTTTTTTTTTTAATGATAAAATTTTGATTGGAGCGCACATTAGTGATTAATAATTGCTTGGGGAAGGAGCAGGAGTGCATTGGGAGGGGAGCTTGGGGAAGGAGATAGATACCGTTATAAAAGACTTGGATCCCTTTGGTGTTGGGAGTGTTTGTATCTAAACTGTGGTGGCAGATACATTGATAAAGTTTCATGAGATGAAACACACATTCCTAAACTACCTGTGGCACTGGGGAAATCTGAGTAAGATAGGTGAATAAAATGAAACGAGTGGCTTGTATCAGGGTCAGATTCCTGGCAGTTGTATTGCACAGGAGTATTTGAGGTTGTCACCATTGGGTCAAGTTAGGCAAAATATACTGGGATCTTTTTGTGTTATTTGTTACAATTGCGTATGAATCTACAATGATCTCAAAGTAAAAAGTTTTCTTAATTAGAAAAGGACTGCAAGGTATTCAAAACAAAAAATCAAAATGAAGGCAAACTAAAGGCGACTAAAGGCAGTCAGCTAGTTTCCTGTTGAGCCTCATATTCTGTTTGAGGTCAGACAAGCTCAGAGCCCTGAGACCTCTGCCCCATGAGAACAAGCCAACCCCCTCCCATTTGTTGGGTCTGCCTTTCTATATCAGGGCTGGGAGAGGCCCAAAGGTCATTCTCACTCATCCTGAGTTCGGGATGTGTATGGGATTTGTGTGCCTATGCAAGCTGAAGCCAAACCCTGGCTTCAGAGCCAGGCATGGTGGTGCACACTTGTAATCCTAGCACACTGAGGCTGAGGCAGGAATTGCAAGTTCGAGACCAACCTGGGCTACAAATGAGCTCAAGGCCAGCCTGAACTGCATAGCAAGGCCTTGCTTCAAACAAAACAAAACAAACAAAAAACCCCCTCACTTCCTTTTTAGGAAGGGCGGGGGCAACAGAGGAAAAAGGAGATTACAGTGGCTTCCTGAAGCCCAGGGTTATTTGGATCTCTTTTAAGAAAACAGGCATTTCCGCAGCTGCAGAGATGTCCTCTCCGGTGCCTGTCTTTCCCTGCTACCCAACAAGTATTGGCCAGCCCTGCCAGTCCTACAGCTCTCTCTCCCTGCTCTTCCTCCTCCAAGCTTCTTTCTTTTTGCTATTAAGTGTGCAGAATTTTGACCAGCTCATTTGATTCCTTGATGACCTTGTAAATTCTAGAAGACAACAGTACATTTTGCAGATGGGAAAACAGGCTTGGAGACGTTCTGTAGATTGTCCTAAGACCCCTTTCTTTTGCACCTGTGCTGGCATGAAAATCGATTGGCATAAGACTGAAATTCTGCTGACCTCATGTTGTTTGCGACTCATGAGAAGAAGAGGTGTATTTTCTTTCTTCCCCTTCTCTTTTAAAGGATAACCAAAGAGGGAAGGTTCAGCTGAGCCTGTCTAGATTGCAGTAGTTGGCAATTATTAAACTTTTTGGTATTGGGTCTACTTTATGTTTTTAAAGTGAGGATTCCAAAGAGTTTTTATAAATTTTTATCCATCAATATTTATCACATTGTAAATGAACACTCAGATATTTTAAAAATAGCATTAATTCCTTTAAAAATAATAAAGCTGGTGTATGTGACCAGGAAAGAATAACTTTCCAAACAACAGCAGACATTAGTGAGGAAAGTGTCACTGTTTTAATTTTTGCAAATTCCTTTACATCTACACTTAATCTGCATGGTGTCACATGTCATGTAGCTTTGGGAACCACTGAACACTTGTGAGATAATGAGAATGGAAAAGTTTAATAATATTTTACTTAGTCTACCTATGCAAATGGTTTTGACCTTGTGGACTTATTGAAAGAGTCTCAGGGATTCCCCATAGGGTTCCCAGCTTACGCTGTGAGAACCCTTGCAGTAGTATATTATTTCCTCTGGTTTCTTTCTGATTCTGTCTCTCCTGTCTCTGTACTAACCTGCATCCAACAATGAGCAGAGCAAAACAGGCTTTTGCAGAAGTGTTGGGTATTCATATTTCTGAGGACTCAGCTTCTATTTGGATGCTTGCATGGTCCCCAGATTTTCAGGGTTCTGCAACCCCCATCGTGGTCAGTCTCCAGGTGGTACTCTAGTTCTGATGCCTAAATCCTCAAAGTCTGATGTAAGTTGGAAGGACGTGGTTCCTGTTAGGTGCTTGTGGCTGGAAAGGCAGATAAGTACGGTTGTCTCAGAGCTTCCTGGAGTAACAGGTTTTCTGTCCCTGCTAGGTATCCAGTATGGCAATCGCTGGAAACCTGGCTGTTGTGTACTCAGAATGTGGTTCGTGCGATTGAGAAAAGGAGTCATGTTATTTTATTTTAATTAGTTTAAATCCAAATGTCCACATGGCCGCCCCTGCGTCTTCGCCCCCACAGCCAGACCTTGTCAATACTTGGCAGGCTCCTGTCCCAGAAGCAGTGGAAAGAAACTCTCGAAAGGTTTTTGAACGCGGGTGGTGAAGTGACACCGTCTGATCTGTGTTTTTGAGCCTAACCAACATGTCACTTTGTGTTTCTCTCCCTATGACACAGGCCCCACCATGAGGCCCCAGCCCTTTGGGTGCCCGCGCGTGCCCCTGGCCCCGGGCGCACCGTGCTAGCCCCACCAGGGCTTGGGGACCCGCGGTGGCCATGGCCAGCCACGTGGACCTGCTGACCGAGCTGCAGCTGCTGGAGAAGGTGCCCACGCTGGAGCGGCTGCGCGCCGCACAGAAGCGCCGGGCCCAGCAGCTGAAGAAGTGGGCGCAGTATGAGCAGGACCTGCAGCACCGCAAGCGCAAGCACGAGCGGAAGCGCAGCGCTGGTGGCCGCCGCAAGAAGGTGTCCTTCGAGGCCAGCGTGGCCCTGCTGGAGGCGTCGCTGCGCAACGATGCCGAGGAAGGTAAGTGACCCGGCCTCTTCAGAGTATGGAATCCGGGCCTCCGCGGCAGAGGCGGGGCCGGGGACTCTGTGCAGCCTCCCAAGGGAAGGCAGCATTGCCTGTCTTGGGCTTCACAAGTGGATTTTCCCACAAAAATGTTTCTCAGACTTTTTCGTTGTTAGAAACAGGGATTCTAGCCTTTGGCTAACGAGTACCATAATAATTTCCCTTCCTTCACACAAGTATTTACTGACAACCTACTTCCTGTGCGTTGCTATTCTAGATGGAGTAGGAACAAGAGGACTGATTTCTCCCCTCCAAGAGCTAGATGTTCCTAGGACCTTGCGTTTCTTAAGCCCTTCCTCCGGGCTCGCCTGGAGCTCTGCATACCCTTCTGGTTTCACTGGTCTCCCCTGCAGCACATACTGTGTTGCAGGTGGTGAAGAACACAGACCTTGACGCTGGGCATCCTAGGTCTGGCTAGTACCTGGCAGTAGACAAGTCATTTCACTCCTTGTGTTTGGTTTTCACCTCTGTAAAATGAACTTAACAGAATCTGGTGTAAGGGCTGCTGTGAACATTAAATTAGAAAATACTTGTAAAGTTCACTTGGACATAGCCCCTCATGCTAAGTGGTTATGAAAGTTTTATGTATGATGTATGTAACTTTTATTTCATTAGATTGGTATAGTATAGTTTAGTATAGTACAATCTAGTTTATATTAGCATAGGATGTCAATAAAGCCTGGAAATATAGACAAGTATGCATACTCAGTTGACTAGGACATTTTCTCTCTATAAGTGAGTAAATAAATGTAAACATGTTTGCATTCGTATCATCTGCTTCGAGACTGTATGGATTTCTATCCTTTTATTTTATTGTTTTATATTATTATTAGGGTCCTATGATCCAGATATCACCATACTCAAGAGCCACATCTGATAACACCCATTTTATAAATGGGGGAACTGAGACCCAGAATGGTTTGGAACTTTGGCCGAGGTGGCAGGGCAGGATGACAAACCCCAGGACCTAAGCTTTAGTCACTGCCCCACGGCTTTGCTAGTTTACCTAACATTGCATGGTGGTTCCATGACCTGACCCAGGTCTCTTGCTCTGGTTGTGTTCTGAGTGGTCACACATGTCATTGTAACTGGGCTTTGTGCACATGTCCTTTGATACCCTTAGCAGCTTCTGTTTACTCCCTGGATGCCAAAGCCTGACTGGCTGTTCCTGGAGATACCTCACACATTTCCTGAGCCCTTACTTGTCTTCCAGGGGCTGTGGTAAAACAGTCAGAGGAAGGACTGAGGGGTGGTGGCACTTACAACACAGAAGGGTGTTGAGTTTTACAGCTCAAGCATTCTTACCCCAGAACTCTGAAATATGAAATATTCCACCGCTGGAACCAGAGAGCCAGCTGTCACCACAGATAGAAAATTCCACATCTGACTGTGCATATTGAATAGCAGTCAAAATACAGATGTGCTGGAACTACTGTATAGGGACCTACAGATTGTGTGTACAAGGTGTGAAGTGTAAGACAACTACACGTTTAGCCTTGGGTTCCATCTCTGAGATATCTCATTGAGTATATGCAAATATTTCAAACTCTTAAGCAGAATCCAAAAAATAAAGCTTTTCTAGTCTCAAGCATTTTGGATAAGGGACTCTCAACCTCTACAAACACAATTCCATTTTCATCCTGGGGACCTGGAGTCTAGAACACGAGCAGAGGTGCATCCCTAGAACCGCTTGGCTGCAAACAGCTCAGTTGAGTGCCAGGGTGAGCAGCCCCCAGGAGGCATGAAGTCTCAGGCTCGGGGACATGGCCTTGAGGCTCCTTCCCACGTGTGCTCTACGGATGACATGGCAGCGCGTCCCACTCAGTGGGTGGCTCATCATGTTGTCTAATTTTTTGATGGAGAGATTGGCTCATCAGCTCTTCTCTCCCCACTCATCGTTTACTCCCTTCTTACCTGATGAAGCCCCCTTCCCCTTCCAAGGGGTGTCTCAGGGGCTCTGTGAGCCGGCTGTGTGGCATCTCCCCTCAGTGACTGTCATGTCTGCTGATTAAAAAGAACACTGATCTTGAAGTTCAAGGATCAGTTGTCCCACCCCACAGTCACTCTTACCTGTGACCCCAAGCAGTTTGTTTCTCCTCTCTGGTCCACTTTCTCAGATGTGTAAAATGGCATCTTGAATGCTTGCCGGTGTGGCAGTATTGGAAAAAATCCAGCATGTGACAGTTCTTTAAAAGTAACCCAAGCTGGACATGGTGGAGCAGCCTGTAATCCCAGAACTTGGGAGGCTGAGGCAGAAGTATTGCTGTGAGTCTCAGGCAAGCCTTGGCTACAAAGTGAATTTAAGGTCAACATGAACTTCATAGTGAGACCTTGCCTCAGAAAGATAACAAAAAGATTAAAAGCAAAAATAAGTTACCCAGACCCCTGTATCAGTACAGTGGTAATTTAAACACATTTTTTCTTTGCATTTTTTGCAGGCTATAATGTTTTGGTGAATTCAAATATACACAAACATAATCTTCTTCTAAAAATCAGGCATGCCTATACTCCCAGCTACTTGAAAGGTTAAGGCAGGAGGATTACAAATTCCAGGATAGCCTGGGCAACTTGGCAAGACCCAGTCTCAAACCAGAAAAAGGCTAGAGGTGCAGCTTACTAGAAGAAACACTTGCCTCCCAGATGCAAGATCTTGGGTTTGGTCCCCAGAAACACACACACACACACACACACACACACACACACACACACACGCACAGCCTCTCACACATGCATCAAACAACATATGTACAAAGCAATGGGTCTTAGTTCCTTTCTTTCTTCCTCCTATAATCATGTTATATGTGATGTGTTTCCTTCCAGGCATTTGCTCATTTATCTATGTATTTGTGAACTTGGAGAAATATAGAGCTAATTTTTTTTCCTCTTTTCTTCTTGCAAACTTTTACATAAGTGATGACATCTTGGAATTCTGGATATATTATTCTGAATTTTTTTTTCTTTTCTCTCTGAAGTGTGTGTTGGAAACTTTTTTTTTTTTTTGGTACCAGGGCTCGAGCTCACAACCTTGCACTTGCCAGGTGAGCACTTACGCCACTGAGCTAAATCTCTAGCATGTTGGAAATATTTTTATGTGCAGTGCAATAGATTTGCCTTGTTCATTTTCACTACTATGTAGTACTCTGTAGTATGGTTTCACCAGAATATTTGCTTTAGTTTCTTATTGATGGCTGTGGAGATGTTTCTGGTAATTTCTGCTTTGACATCGTGAATGTTTTGTATACATACACATATGGTTGTTTAGGACAGAGTAGGAAAATGGAAGAGCTGGATTAAGAGTATTACATTTCAGTGAGAAAAATGCAGACCCCATGGGATGTGCACTGGCCCTGGGAACAGTCAGGTGAGAATGGTAGGGCCAGAGCCCTGTGCTCTGTGGTGTGCTGGTGGCAGGGTGGGGTGAAAAATGCCCCTGGGGTCCACGGTTGGCTGTGGGGATGGTGGGTGAGGCTGCCATCAGTCAGCTCTTGATCTTGCTGGGTTGTGCTCCACTTCCTGGCAGCATGACAGCCCGCTGGCTGGGAACAGCTTCTGCTGGCTGATGGAGCTGGTGTTTGGGAGGCTGCTGGGGTGTTAGATCACAATGGGGTGGGAGTGTGGGGGCAGCTCCTCCGCACCCTTGAGCTCATAGCATCCTCTGAGTCAACCTTCCTCACCTGCCAGTGGAATGTGACTTTTTCCCCTGAGAGGCGGCATTGGGGAACTCACTGAATTTCCTTTTCGGGCCCTGCATTGCCCTTAGACTAGTGTCATGGATCTCAGACCTTCCTGAGACCTGCCTCCACTGCTCCTGGTCATCTTCCTATAGGTCAGCCAACTTGGGCCCCTCCAGGATCCTCTCATGCATGCCCTCATTTGCGGGGTTCCCTCTATCTGAAGCACTCTTTCTCCTTTAATTTTTCAGCTTTGGGTCCAGAGTAACCTCTGGGAAGCCTCTGAGCCTTTTCTGCTCCCATTTTGTCACTAGTTAGAGCAGAAAACCCATAACTGGTATTTAGTGAGAGACAAGGTTGGCCCAGGAGCACAGATTGCAGTGTGTCCTCTCAGATTCAAATTCCAGCTCGACTGTTTCCTAGTTGTGCATTTGCAGGGAAAGAAGTTACTTAACTCCTTGGTGCCTCAATTTCCCTATCTAGAAAGATGAGGAGCAATATAGCTGTCTTGTAAAGTTGTGGAGGGGTTGAGTTGAGTTGGTAAATGATGAAATGGTATGATAAAAACTGGGCAAGTTATATAAATTGTTGTGCCTACATTCTCTATTATTCTACATTTACATAATCTCTTATTATTATGTATTCTGATTGTCATCTTCATGATTATTTATCAGGTGCTGACTCTGTACCAGGCACTGCTTTCTATATGTTAGCTCAGTTAATCTTCACAGCAACCCTGTGAGGTTACATAGAAAAGTCAAACTCCATTTTAAAAAAATAGCTCGGGGGTTTAATTTACATATCATAACATTTGCCTATTTTAAGGGTACAACCCGGTGGTTTTCAGCTAATTTACACAACTGTGCCTTCTCCAGTTTTCCAGTGTTTTTATATGAAGAAACTTCTTGCCAATGTACAATCATTCAAGGGTCCAAGCCCCAGCCCCAGCCCCAGGCAATCACTAATCTAGTTTTTGCCACTCTGTGTGTGTCTCTGCTCGGTTTCATTTACATCAGATCAAGTGACACATGATCTTGTGCGATTGGCTTCTTTGCTTTAGAGTAACATTTTAAGGCTTCTCCCAGGCTGTCATACATGAATGCTTGTTTCTTTTTACTGCGTAGATGTGCCACACTTGGTCCCTCCGTTCACCTTGGGTGCGCATTGCCATGCTTGGCTATGGTGAATGGTGCTGCTGAGAACTGACGTGTGCGGGTCCTTGCGTGGATATTCTCATCCCTCCTTGATGGTCACCCCAGAGTAGAATTGCTGGGTCACATGGTA